GTTTTGGGGGTGCTGGCTGCTGTTCTGGGGGCGTGTGGCTTTGGGGGGGCACTGCAGCTGCCAGGCGCTGGCTTGCGCCCGGCTGGCTTGTGCCATGGGCCGAGTGTGCAGGTAGGGCAGGCGGGATGTAGAGGAGAGCYCTCGGTGCCGGCTTTGGGCCTTGCAAGCCCCKGCTTTGGGAAGACTGGGACACGGGRCGAATCCTTAGCATTCAGGCACGGAGACACAGCCGGGGTGGGTCGTGCGGTTGGCGCCGTGCTCGTCCCACCGGCCGCGTCCCCATCCCCAAACATCGGGGTGCATCGACCCCGCTTGGGCACGTGCTCCCTTGTCGTGTGTTCCCCATCCCTTCTACAGCTTCACCCCGTGCTGGAGCGCTCGCATCCAGACACCGGGACGTGCCGAGGGGGCAGCCAGCTGTGAAGCACCTCTCGGGGCTCCCTTTTCCCGTTGTSCCCCTAGACACTCGCACACGCTCTCTGCGCTCCCGGAGCAGCAGCTTCATTACCAGTATTATTTTCAAGTTGTAAAGTCCATCATGGACATTACCTCAATCTGTGGCTTGGTTACAGCTGGCCAGTTCGGTACCAGTGTATATATGAAAAAAAAAAAAGAAAGAATTACCCAAACCTTTATCTCCCAGGGCCCCCACGCTAATGCTTTGCTGAGCACTGCAGTCCCCAGCTGAGCTGTAAATGACTTTTTCATTTTCCTAGGCCTGCTACCTGGTCTGTTTGGTATTCAGGGGCACCCCACCAACAGGCGCTATCATTCTGCTTGGGCCGAATTACTTGATTAAAACGCATATCAGCGGCTACGTGCTTCGTTTTTCTGCCGCGGCTCCGCACCCGAGCTCTGGACTGCGTTGAACGGCGGCGCGGCGGCGCCCGTGCTGCCGGGGCGGGAGCTCCAAGGGGCAGGGAAAAGCCGAGCTTTACTGTGCGTGCTCTATGGCCAGCTGGGTTTTGTGCCCGGGAACGTGCGTGGACRGGGGAGGCAGAGCGGGAGGAATGGGAGCAACTCGGTCCCCCTTGCAGCCCTGCAGCGGGGTGGGTTTGGAGGTGCACGGGGGCTCCTCCTGCAAAGGGGAGCTCGTGCTCAGCGCTCTCGGGCTGGCCCACATGGGCACGCACCTTCCCAGCCCTCTCTTGAGCTCATTCACCACTCCGCAGGGAATGGGCAGTTCTGCCTTGCTCCTTTCCCTGTACAAATGCCAGCAGCAGGGAACTGGTCATCCGGCACGGCCGCATCCCCTGGGCCGAGCTGGATGTCCACCCATTTAGTCCCGGGAGTTTGAGGCTGGGGAATTGTTTTGTTGGCAGGAGCATGGAAAATCTGCTGCTTGCCACAATATTTTGGGTGCCAGCAATGGGGTAGCTACACGGGCAAACGGAGAGGAAAAAAACGAATGAGAAAATAACAGGCACCACGGATGCACACTCTGTTTATGAGCCCCTGTGAGCAGACTGCAATAAGAGGGCTCAAAACCAGAGCAGGAACGAGGAGAATAAGTGTGGCTGTATTGGTATATTGGATATACCTATTTCGACTTCCCATTATTTCAGATCCACGTGCCAAAGTGGCAATCAGGAGCCATTTCCATCTGTTGATGCCCATACCAGGGCTCYGGTTATTAAGGCAAAGCCCAGGCAGCAAAGGCAGCGAGGTGGCAGGCGCCGCGCGTCCTTGCCAAGGCCACTGAGAAGCCCATTAGCTGGCTCAGCACAGCACGGGTTTCAGGGACGGATGGGACCTGGGCAATGTGTGGGTCCCGGGGTGGCTCTGGGACCGCATGGGGCTGGAGAGCCCCGAAGAAGAGGGGACCCCGKTGCAGCGCACGTGGGGCTGGTGCTGGGCTCCACAAGGAGCCCCAGGTGCTATCGAAGCCCCTGGTGCTCTTGGTGCCACATGTGCTGGGGTGCAAGGGGGAGGCTCCGCGCGGAGCCGCTCTCTCCTCCCTCCAGCTCAYGTAATTTTTGGGATGGAGCAGCTGGAAGCAAGAGAGCAACGGAGGGGAAACGAGCTGCAGCGCAGAGGGTGACAAAGAGGCGAGCGGTTGGAAGCGGGGGACACGCGGCGCCCCTTTCCCCTCCGACAAAATCCGCTCCCCGCTTTAATGAATGCGTTTTCATGCCTGATCCCGGCTGCCAATCCTCGCAGGCAGCACCGAGGTGCTTCAAGACAAGGCGGCAGGTCCTTGTGGAGCATCAAGGGCTCAGCCGGAGCCTGGAGGGTCTTGTTGGGGCCGATTCCACCTAATCCTGTTGATTAATTTAACTCCAGGGCTAAGAGGCTCCCAGCAGCAGTGAATGGAGATGGGGAGGAGAAAGGCAGAGGGAGAGGAAGGGAGGTGGGAGAGAAGGGGCTGGGGAGAGGGAGGACAAATCCAGACCATAATTACTAAAGGGTTTTCTCCTTCCTTTCCTCATCCCTCCTCCATTTCTGTCCCTCTCGAGCCCCTCCGGAGGGTTCTGCCCACCTTGTGCTATTTGCACATGCAGTTCCTGCCCTGTTGTGCTGGAGGCTGCGTAAACTGTGGGTTTCTCCRCAGTGCTCTCATGAGGAGAGGCTCAAACTGTACAGTTTGGGGATATTTACCCCCCAAAAATGTCCTGTGTTTGTGTTAACACACGAGATTTGTGTTAACCCTGGCTGATGCCCAGGGGGAATGTGCCAGGCCAGTTTGAGCCTCTAGGAAAAGCTGAAGTGGCCCCAGCACCTAAGGCTCAACCAGGACCCCGTGGCCAGAGCAGCCCCTGCTCGTGCCTGGGTGTCCCCTGCATGGGGTGTCCCCTAGGCCCCCGCAGCCCAGTGGGTGTCTTGTGGACCCCAACAGGATCCCTGTGCTGCACAAAGCAGCTTTCCCCACCTCCTTCCCCCTCCTTAGGTTGTGTCCGCAAGGATGAGGCCAAGGGAAGAAGCCACGGGCTTGCCTCGCAAGGGAATTTCCTTAGGTCATTCCTGCACCTTTATAAACCTGGGCTTGCCTCGCAAGGGAATTTCCTTAGGTCATTCCCGCACCTTTATAAACCTGGGCTTGCCTCGCAAGGGAATTTCCTTAGGTCATTCCCGCACCTTTATAAACCTGGGCTTGCCTCGCAAGGAAATCTCCTTAGGTCATTCCCGCACCTTTATAAACCTCTCCATCGCAGCAGAGCTTCACGGGGCAGGGTCCAGCTGCTCAGGCATGGAGAGGACCTGTTAGATGGAGGGCAGCTGTAGGCAGAGCCGGTCCCCCGGCGCTGCAGGACACGTTAAATAACAAGCTCAGCCGCCCTCGCTCTCGGCCAAGAGCCCGTCTGCATCATTTAATAAATCTGGGGCTGACAGCAGCAGCTGCGCGGGGCTAAGAGCAGCTGGTTGCAGCCGTGCCCTGGGATTTTCCTCGCTCCCTTGGCTTCGTCTTTGTGGTGTCCGGGCCTCCGCTTGGCACGCGGTTCCGCRGCTCCTTTTCCCAGCTCGGCTCCCGACTCCCAGGGCGAGCGGAGGTGGGTCCTTGTGCCGCCCCGGCCGCGCTCCTGCCACTCGGAATGGGAGGGAATGCCGGTGGGGAGCGCTTGGGAAGGCGCCGCTGCCGTGTTCAAGCCGTGGCCGTGCTGCTGTGAACGGGAATGTGCTGCTACTTGTGGCATCCCCATCCTCTCCCCCGCGTCCTGCCGTCGGCCCTTCGTGATGGTTTTGGGGGCAGCTTGGTAGTTTTTCTTCCAGATTTGCACTGCATCAAGAGGAGCAAAGGGGGCAGCGATTGGGGATGGGTGGGGATGGACCCGACCGCCGCGGTGCGGAGCTCCTGGTCTGGAGGAGCCCRGGCTGCTGCATGCACAGGGGTGGTACCCGCTCGCATGTAAGGCCTGTTGTGGGGAAGAAATCACACACTAATTAATGAATTTAGCGCGTTTTGCTTCCCCTTCCTCTCCTGCACCTTTCTCCTCCTAGACCTGGGCTCACCTCAGTCCCCATGGACATTTCTGCAGAAGATACTGGTTAAACCGAGCAGAACCAGTGACTTGGCTTAGTGACCTGGGTGCTGCAGGCTTCCAGATGTGCTTTGGCACACGATGGTGTTTCCGAGTCCAGATGTGCTCCTACCTGGCCCGTATCATCTGGAACCCAGATGTGCGAGGCGGCTATTCTAGAGTACAGATGTTCCTTTCCTATCAGACCTACCCCTGATAAATACAAGTAAGCAGAAAGCTAGTTTAGTCCCTGGTTTAGTCCCAGGTTTTTCCTATGGACTATCCACATGTGGGGCAGGTGCTGCTCCAGGGAGAGGCAGAGGCCATGGCAAGGGAAGGCAGAGGATGTCGGTGCCCCCTTAGGCCTTGGCAAAGGACATCCCTGGCATCTCAGTGCCCTTGGCCTTCTGCAAAGCTCCTGCTGAAACCTGGGAGGGATGAGTCGGGGAGAAGAGGAGCTGTATCCTGYGGCAGTCCAGGCCAGGGTGAAGCTGAGGACGTGGGGAAACATCTTCCCCTGCTGCCAAAGTTGCTAATATTTAGTTTTTTTCAAGGGTAGTTAAGAATTGATAACTCAAAGAGCGGTGCTGCAGAGTGCCAGGGGGGTGTTAGCATGCACGGCTCAAACCGTCTTGCCTTAGACTTCTCACATCTACAGCTTTTCAGCACCTAATCACCTTTGCTGAACACCTTCTCAGCATCTAATTTTCACCGGTCCCACATTGCGAAGCCCAGAGTCGTTTCGAGCAAAACTGGAAATGTCTTGAAACAGGAAATGTCAGCAGCTGTGGGTTTTTTCGCCTAGAACATGTTGAACAGTGGACCTTGTTCAACCCCTTTCCTGCAAACGATTCCCATTTTGCTCGATTGTCTTTTYCCAGCACGAAGGAAGCCCGGCACCCTAGCTGGAGTAGTAGTTTTGATGGCTGCGGTCAGTGTGGAACTGAGATGAATGTCCCRGGTTGTGTCCCCCCGTTAAGAGCTTTCCCCCCGCAGGGCTTCTCAGCCCCACAAGCCTCCCTTGACGTTCCTTTGCCACGCCAGGTAACCGGCTGGACGAAGGCTCCGACGTCGAGTCCGAGCCCGACCTGCCTTTGAAGCGCAAGCAGCGCCGCAGCCGAACCACCTTCACGGCCGAGCAGCTGGAGGAGCTGGAGAAGGCCTTCGAGAGGACCCACTACCCCGACATCTACACCCGCGAGGAGCTGGCGCAGAGGACCAAGCTCACCGAGGCCCGCGTGCAGGTGAGGAGCCGCTGCCGGCGCCCATGCGCACCTGCCTCCTCCCGGGAGCCGCATTCCCGGGATCCCGGAGGTGCCTCGTGTCTCCGTGGATGTGTCCTATTGATTTGGCCCCTTACGGAGGTGCCACCTGGAAGGTTTCCATGGCCAGGATTGGGACCAAGCTGTGGCTGGCTTGGCGGGATATTTAGCTCCGTTGTTGGCTTGGAGGAAATTTCCCCCTGTGCCTAGGAGGAAGCAGTGTGTGTGCACGCTCGGATCTGGCGTTTTAGCAGAAATCCTACCGTTTACCAGCTTTCCCCGGGGGAGCAGATCATATTTTGCAAAGTTTGCAAGTTGCATGCGCGAATTTTCATCAAGCGTTCCTTTTCTTCCCAATCTGCAGCGCAGGGAGAGGGCGCGAGGGGGGAGAGATGAGCAGGGGAGGAGCAGGAAGGGAGGGCTTGGAGCAGGGGGACTCTGACATGGACACGATTAATAGCCCTTGTGGGAACTGCACACAGAGACCCTTATGTCTTCCAGATAAAGGCTGGGTCAGCAGTGTGTGCAAACACGCAGAGGGATCAGGAGTGTGAACAGATCGGGGGGTATAATAGAGTCCCTTGGGGAAAGGCAAGGCAAGGGGGGAGGGCCTGGGGATGGCGCGGGGTTAGAGCAGTGAAATGGAGACCCCAGCAGTCCGTCCTCCGTGTGGCCGGGGCTATTGGGTTTCAGCGCCGGGGGCTCCGCATCTCGCCCGCAGCTGGATTGCGGGTGCTGAGAGGGGAGGCGGAGAGGAGCCTGGCGCTCCTGCTGGAGAACCRGCCCCGTCACCAGCAAAAGAGGCTTTTTGTGGGGCAAAAGTGGCTTTTTGTGGGGCAAACGGGGCTTTTTCTCGTGCAGGAGAATGCGCTTGGGCTCCCTGGGGAACCCAAAGCGCCAGAGGTTGGGCTGCTTCCCAGGCAGCCTGGGCATGGATGTGTCCCCGGCTCAGGACATCTCCCGCTTTCCCAAGGAGGTGTCAAGCCCCTCATATCACTGCAGCATCTACCTCGTCTTCTCCCTCCCACTTTCTCTTGGAACGGGCGGATTTAGGTGATTAGGCCAGCAAAGGTTGGGCTGTGGAAATCCGCCCGCTTCTGTTCTGCGTGTTCCGCTTCCCATTGCTCCTGCTTATGTAGACAGGCGCTAATGGGGAAAATAGAGGCGTTTCTGTCGAAACAAGACTTTAAAAAGGCATTTTAAGGGAGAACGGGGTTTAAGCAGCACCTCTCTATGGCGCAACCTGCACCGCGTGAGCCCTGATAAGGGTATGAAGGGGAGAAGGCAGAGCCTGGGTCCRGCTTTTCCAGCCTGACCTCACCAGGACAAGGCTGGGAGAAGGGAGGGAGGTGGAAAGAAGAAGGAAAGGACAAGCTAAATAAAATAAATAAATAAAGGGACCCTTTCCCCCAGCTCAAGCTGTGATCTCTGCAGCCCTCCCCTTGCTCCCAGGCAGCTTGCAGGGAGGCTCCTGCCAGGGCTCTAGGAGCAGCTGTTCTCCGCGGCACATTCCTGATGGATTTCTCATTCCAACATCCTGGCAGGCTCCGCTTCTTCCCACCACTTTTAAGCCCGCCGCCCCTTGTAAAATTTTCTGGATATCAGAGCAGATCCTTTTACTGGCTCTCGGGACCTACAAACATTAGTCAATCAAGCCCTTGAGATGGAGGGAAAAAAGCCCCACGCGCCCACGAGAGCACRGGCACACATGGACCCCAGGCAGGGAATCTCCTGCCCCCTCAGGGTTTATTCCCGTCTCTAAAGAGTTTTTGGCCAAAAGGGAGGTTTTTTGATTAAAGATGCTCTTGTAACAGCAGGGCCAGCTGAGAGCGGGATTGCTGGGTGCTAAGGACCATGTGAAGATGAAGATCTACTTGAGCACAAGCTGTGTCCCCTAAAACTTTTGTTAATACATGAAAGGAGGAGAAGTAGGGGGCGAAAAGGCTGTGGGAGATATTTTGTGATCCCCAGTTGCAAGAAAGACCAAGACTCCTGGTGCTTGGTCACTGTGTCCTCCATCACCTGGACCTTGGTGGCTCCTGTGTCTAGCAGTCTAGTAGTCGCAGCCCTGATGCTGCCCCCGGCCCTAATTAATGTATCGCCCATTAAAACCTATCCCCACCCTTGAGTCCTGTTGAGCTGAGCAGCATAAAGCACGAGAGGAAAGACCAGGCCGTCCCTTTGCTCCTTTCTCACCCTCCTCTCCTTTGCTTTGCCCGAGGGAAGGTGATTGAACCCATCTCTCATTCCCTCTGCGACCCCCAGGAGAAAAGCCGGGAGCTCTGGGAATCTTCCCGCGGGCCTCGACTGCCTCCCGCTCCCGCAGCTGTCCGGATAAGTGGGAGTTTGACAGCTAAGAAAACTCACAGGCTGAACAACGAGCCCGGGGGGGACCCAGTTTCAAGCTCTAGTTCCTCGTGTGCTAGAAAGGTGACTACAGGGTGACCAGTATGTTGGCATGGTCAACATGCTGGTGGGGTGAGAGCCGCAGAATTCCTGCACTTGGGATCCGAGCGCCTCAGAGGGACACGATGTGTGACACTAACCCCACAGGCAGCGTAGCGGGGGACAAGAGTGATGGGGACCCCCACGGGATCCCGTCAYGGTACTGGGACCCGGGCCAATGGGTGGAAATTCCCACGGACTCCGCTTGGGAGGCGACGGTTCCTGGGGAGCACCGACTCGGATGGGGGTGCTCAGGAGCGGGGCTGGGTGTGAACGGAGATGATCTGCAACCAAATAGTTGAATTGGCCGCCCAGCCTTGCGTGCCTAGCCCAGGAGCCCTGGGATCATGCTTCAGATTAGAACAAATTCCAACTTTAGGGATTTTCGTGGCCAAAAAGTAGCCACAAACCTTCACTGTAGTGGGATAGGAGAAGGCGGTTGCTTCTCATCCTGCTAATGCATGGTCCTCTTTGCCTGGCTCTATATCACGCGTGCTACATATATAATACATGCTGGGGTCCCATGCTGAAGAAGAGCTGAGGCAGAGGAGAAAGCAATCAAAACACTAAAAAGCAGCATTCTTGCTCTGCAAGAATTTTCAAGATTTTAGGGAAAAAAATCCATCTTTAGTTTGGACTCAATCGGTCCAGTTTGGACTTTTTACAAAGAGTAGATCAACAGCTGAGCAATTCACTTAGCAATTTTAACAGAAGTCCCGCCTTTGGTCTTCAGTTTATTTTGTTTTTACCTCAGTTTTTGCAACTGTTTGATGCTGACAATGTCCAAACGTTGTTTATTAAAAAAAAAAAAAATCCCCAAAGTAAATGCGAAGCGAAATTTGATGGTTTGAGTTGGATGAAATCAGTGTGTGAGATAAAGGAGAGCAAGTGCTCAGATTGCCCTGGGGTCATCCTCGCAAGCCCGAGCCGCWTAGAAATTTGCACACCGAGGAAAATATCTTTCCCACGTCGACCCCGGTGCCCACGCGGGCAGCCCGTCTCTGCCCGTCCTGCCGCTCCCATGAGTCACATTTGATGCCTTCCCAAGTATGAGCTCAAGAAGCTTTCCCAGGAARGGGCTGGGAGCGCTTCCCAAAGCAACGCGGCGGTTTCTGCTTGCGAGCGTGACGGGCGGGTGATCCCCAGGATTGGATCCCGCACGGATTGGGCAGCGCYGGGCGCCCGCCATGCCGCCGCCGATCCGCAGGAAATTCCATGCCCCAGAGAAACTCAAATTTCGATAACAAAATTAAACCAGCGAGAAGGAGTCGCAAGYCGGTGCGTTATTGATCAGCTTGATGATTGATACCGCGGTGATCTCTGCCGGGGAGAAAATGGCCATTTCATTTAATAAAGAGGCTCGCAGTGGCTCTGCTGTGGTTTACGCCCCGTTTCAGGAGAGCAGCCCTGCTCCCGATGCTGCCCGGGAAGCTTGGGAGCGCTCCCGGGGCTCCGGCGCTTCGAGACCTTTCCAAACCGGCTCTTCCAAGGCAACCCCTTGCCCTTAAGGGCCAGTGGAAAAATCCAATATAAAAAAGTGCAGTAAATCTGCAGGTATCCCGGCTTTGGGGGCAGGTCTTGCCTTACGTGGCCAAAGAGCAGTTTTAGAAGTTGCAGTGCGTCCCGTCCGACACATCCRACGGGAACAGAGACAAGCTCCAGGCTTTGCCGACGGGAACAGAGACAAGCTCCAGGCTTTGCTGCCTAATYGGAGCAGACCTGCTTGTTTTGGGTCTGTGCAGCAGGGAATCCGTATGAAATACCAGGCATAGCCTGTGTCAGAGAAATACTCTTGCAAACTTGCTAGCTGCTGCAGCAGCACAGATGGAGGAATCCATTCAGGCTGGTAAAACATGACATATATTGAATTTTGCATAAAACTGAGTTTGGTTGAGATCCAGAGAAGTAAGTTTATTCTTCTGTGTTTTGAGGTTGGGTTTTTGGTTTTTTTTTTTTTTTTTGGCTTTTTTTGTCCCCTTCTCCCTCAACTTTCGTCTGTTCTTAGTCTGCGTAGCACGGAGAGAGCAGCCTGGCCAGCCTTATGGTCACCGAGTTGGAAGAGGGAGCCCCTAAACAACACGCTCATGATTTGATGCCCTCGCGGGAGGGAGGACCCAGAGGCCAAAGCAATGAACCCGCTGCCGCTGCCGCCGGCCTGCGGGGAAGCCAGGGAAGTCGCCCTGATTTATAGCCCCGCAGCGCCCGGGCCATTGTGCCCAAAACAAACAGGGCCTCCAAGAGGCTTTCTGGGCAGAGCCTCCCTCCCCAAACCTGCTGCTCCCCAAGGCGGGACGGAGCCCATTCTGGCACGTTTTGCTTGGGCACCCTCGCTTGCATGGCCAGGTTGCCCACCCAGCTTGCCAGGTTGCCCACCCAGCTCAGGAGGCCTCCTCTTTACCGGGCTACCCATTAAACAGATTGCCTGACAATAAAAAAAGTCCTTATCCCAACGAAGCGCTGGGTTTGCCAGGACATTTTAATCTTTTCTCCATTCCCCACAGCGTTTAAGCTGGGTTTAAGGGGTCGAAGCTTATTTT